GAAATTGTTGTTGCTTGAGATTGAAAATGAAAATGTGTGTGTGAGTTTGTGAGTAAATTTAAAAATTAAATTGTTTGGAAACGTCAAGAATTTTAAAAGTGACTCTCAGCGGTTCTACCTTACTATATTTTTATCATGGTACAAACCATTTCTTTGTTTTGAATTTGTTTGTTTATTGTTTTTAATTTTTAAAATTCATACTTTTGACATGTATGTGAATGGCGGAGTTGCCGTTTTCCTCCTTTTCGGTGGGTTTTTATATTAAAAAGGCATCACAATGGGAAAAATCCTCCTTGGTATCTCTGCATCTGTTAAACTTTTTATGGGAAGATGTATGAAAATTCAATTTGCTATAATTTCATATGCTTAACAGTATCACAGCAGTATGTTTACAGTATCTCCCCATAACTTTTCATATGAAAAAATGTATTATATGCATCCCACTCGATATCATTGAATTCCTCATTAGAACATGTAGTCCCTCTATTTTAGCGTATCAACAGTTCATATGGCTTCATACCTTGTAAATGCACCATAAGAGAAAATTGTTTTGAGGCGACTTGTATTGCGTTACTCCAGTGATACAAAAATAAGTACTTCCCAAAAAGTTTAAAGTTTTTGCTGGAATGTGCCTTAAAAATCGCGTATCCATATAACGCACGCTTGAATTTGTTTTTACATAGAAGCAAATGCCATATAACCATTTTGATTTATGAGTTGTTTGTTATATTCTGAACCGTATTTTTATAAAAAAAACTAATGAAAAAAAAACTTATAATTAAAAACATTGCATTGTTAGGTACATGATTTTAATTTTAAAATTTACTTACTTACAAACTCACACACATATTCTCATTTCCAATCTCAAACAACAAAAATTTTAAACAATTTCATTTTTTTCATTTTCTGTTTTATATGATTTTAAAATGCATGCAAACTTCAAAAACAATCATGGCCGACGAATTGGTTTTATCATGGTTAGGTAGTACCAAAATTTAGTCCGGGTTTTGTGATGTAACTTATTAATTATCTGAACTCTTCGCTTCAGGCT